CGCAGCGGTGGAGGAGGCAGCGTGGTGGACGGCGACAGCGTCGGGCGACGCCGACGACGAATGAGCCGCCGAGCAAGGCCATGGATGGCGCCGAGAAGAACCACCCGAGAATCGCGCGCGCCGAGCTGGAGTCCTGCGCCACCATGGACATGAGCACGACGTCGAGGGCGGTGTGCCTGGTGATGAAGTAGCCTTGTGATGTCCATGGCAACGTTGCAGAGGCGTTTGACAGGGCCGTTGCGCGCGGCGAGCAGCTCCGGCAGGCCGTGTAGCCACCACCCTGTCGTACCTGACCGTGCAGTCGTCTGCGTCGTCGTACGGCGTGCCGTCCGGGTGCAGCAGCTGGGACAGGTACGCCGCCGTCGTTGTCGCGTTCTGCACTTCTGCTTCGCGAGCAGCACCGCCGCGCGCGCCAGCACGCGCGTGTCTGCCGCCGCCCTCGCCGTCAGCGACAGCAATGACAGCGACTCCACGCACAGCTTGTGCTCCTCGATGAAGCTGCAAGTCTCCGCGATGCTGGCGTGCGGCAGGGCGGTGGTGGCGCGCGTGCACGACACCGGAAGACGACGACGCGCCTCTCTTTGGGTTTGGGTGTCGATGAGCTGCTCGGTTCTTGAGAGGAGGTGGCCATGGCGTCCTCGGCCGCCGAGTAGGCCGCGCGCTCCGGGCGTCGCCGCCGCCGCCGCAGCCGAGCAAGCTGTGACCGGGAGAAGAGAGAAAGGAGGGAGAAAGAGAGAAAGAGAGATGGATAGCTGACATGTGGGCCAAGGATATTTTCGACATTTCACACGATTTCTATCTATCCTCAACCGAAAATCATTATTTTAATCGGCACGGTGTCTATTGGCAAATTACCACGTTTATGGAGTGTTTTCCCCCAAAAGTGAGTTTGGGCAGTGTCTCACGGCTAAAACCACGAAATCGTAGTGTCTTGTAGCAAAATTTGCCTTTTATTTTTTCAACCCCTACATTATTTTATCAGTTATTTTAATTGCTCTCATGAGTATTAAAAATTTCAATCATAATATACTGGATATTTTTGGAACTGCATAGTATCTTGTATTAAAAGGAGTAAAGTATAGTTATAATTGCTAAATCTTTATTTTTAATTTTGGAATTAAATTAATAAAACACTAAATTAAGAGTTCAAAATGGGTACTTTATATCCATCTTATTTTCAAATTCCATAGTTGTTAGATTTTGAAAAAATAAACCCGAAGGGTTCGTCAAATATTATATGTACACATGGTTGGGTTCGTTGTTTTTATATCTTAACATGTTGATTGGTTTTGAATATACAGGCCAATATATATTGTCTTATAGTTACAGTTACAGGAGGTGACGGAGGGGGGGGGGGGGGTGGGGGGGCTAGAAAAAGTTTGAATAACAATATTGTCCTTTGGAACATATGAGATTGTACAGGAATTTCACATGTATACGTTAGATTTATATGAAAATCCTCTAAAATACATTCAAACATAAGAAGGCTAAATGTGTGCCAGTGTGCACTTGATCCAATTGGTTAAAAAGAAGTAAAATACATTGCCGGCCCTTAAACTTATTTGCGGGTGCCCTCCAAATTTATAAACTTGAAAAATGCATCTTTTATATCCCTAAAGTTGGTAATAAACCAACTTCGGACAAATATCCAACTTGTCATGGGAATACTGATAGGTTCAGTCGCCTAGAGTTGATGTGGCTCTAGATCTAGACGCTCTTACCATGGAGACACCGGATCTGACTCCATGGGAAGGACACACTTCCTCTCTCGAAAATGGTGGGCATCCTAGAGCAGATCCAGAGGAGGATGGCGATGGGGCTTGAAGGACGACGTTGGCAGCACCGAGCATAGATGATGGGTTGACGCCAACACCGGATCCCCTCTCCCCACCATCGTTGGTGTCATCCATCCGATATGCTCACTTGCCGTGCTGATCTCTCTATGAGCTCCACAGTAGCAGCAGGGCATCAGGACGAGAGTTTGAGCGCCGAGGCTATAAGGGGAGCTCGACGACAATTTTTTTTTTTGAAATTACGATTTTAATGAAAAATCATAAAAATATAAGTTGGTTAGACGAAATTACAAGTTTAGCACCCTATCGAACAACCGTGGTTCGACGGGGTACCTATCGAATGACCATCGTTCGATAGAGGTACCTATTGAACTTTAGCAGTTCGACAGGTGATAAAAAAGATTAAAAGCAAAAAAAACATTGTGCACTACCCTATCGAACTTAGTCTGTTCGATATGTGCCTGCTGAGCACTGTAGCACACTGTAGCATGCTGTCCACGCAACCCCTGTCGAACTTTGGCAGTTCGATGTCCTGTAAGTGGTACTTTTCATGTACTTTTTTATTTGTTTTTGAACCAACTACCCTGTCGAACTGTCGAACTGCGGTTGTTTGATAGGTATAGTGCTAAACTTGTGATTTCGTCTGACTGACCTATATTTTTGTGATTTTTCATTAAAATCGTATTATTTTTAAAAAAATCGCTCGACGACAACTTCTTGGTCCAAGAACATGGTATAAATATTGTGGGTGGGCTCCACTTGTTAGTAAGTATGGGATTGGTAAAAATGTTATGTCAGCACATCCTAATGACACTTCATGTCAAATTTTAGACCGATATTAGTACATTTGGCAAGTTCAGTGATCTGAAAGTGCATTTTTCAAGTTTGAAGTGCATCAATTGTATTATACTCTTTTAAAAGTGAAGCCTTGATGATTCTTGATTTTAACTAATCTTCTATGAATCATGGAGCTTAATACAATGTAGTCAAATCATATTGTACCTGGGAAAAAAATTTAAAAAGCTGGGATAATTCAACAAAGTCAACGGGCCAACTCCCATGAAAAAAATATATTACCCACAGTTCCAGAATCCTAAAGGCCTTTCTTAATTACAAGGCATGGGTTACTTGTATAGTAATGTTACCATACCAACCCCAGTAGAGAAAATAAATATTGACATTGTTCTCAAAATACAATTTAACAACTAATTTACATGGTAATATATTTGGAAACACAAAAACTTGTAATATCATGGAAATACTTTCAGAGACGATCGAATCTATATGTATGGTTTTCATGCAAACAATCTGAATATTTAAAAATGCATGTTCGACATTTTGGAAGTTTTACTCGAAGCATGTCCAAATGGCATTTATTGACCTACACCACAGGCACATATGACATTGACTGCTGGCAAAATGAGAGCCTTGTCGGTTGCCCATATCCCTAAAAAATAATTTATAGGTAAAAAAATACATATTTGTTCATAGTAATTGAAAAGCTATGCTAAAAAGAAATTACGTTGAAAATATCTTAATATCAACTTCAAAATCAAATTTAAAAATTCAAATTTTAACTTTTACTTTAGCTTATTAGGCCAACCAATGTGGCTAATTATACTCTGCAGTACATGTACATGGTTGTCTTCAGAATCTGTAGGGTTTACAGCTGGACAATTCCGTTACCTAGGATCAATTAAAGAAGTGGTAGTAAGAGCAAGTTTAATAGTATAGCCCACTACTAGCTCCAATTCATTTATAACCAATCTAATAGCTAATTTATACAATAGTTGCTTACTATACTATTAATATATGGTCCTACCTGTCATACACACACTGCGTCTTGGAGTTCGTGCTGCAGCTGGCTACAGATCTGTAGCCTGCTCCTCTTCTCTCTCATCTTTTATCTCATTAAAATATGTTTATAGCTGGCTAATAGCCTGCTATTGTACCTGCTCTGAGGTGTTGTTTGGATGGGGCTAAAATTTTTTTAAGTCCCTATCACATCGGATGTTTGGACACTAATTAGAAGTATTAAACGTAGACTAATGACAAAACCCATTTTATAATGTTGGACTAATTCATGAGATGAATCTATTGAGCCTAATTAATCCATTATTAGTCTATGTGATGCTACAGTAAATGTGTGCTAATTATGGATTAATTAGGCTTAAAAAATTGTCTCGTGAATCAGCTCTCATTTATGTAATTAGTTTTGTAAGTAGTCTATGTTTAATACCCTAATTAGTGTCCAAATATCCGATATGACGGGACTAGTCCCTGAATCCAAATACCCCCTAAAACCAGAGATTGCTAAGGGGCGATCAATCGCCCCTAGTGATCAGGTAATAGTTCCCCCCTCCTTCCACCTGATTTCTTTTTTGGCACCGCATTAATTTCCTATTTTAGTAAAATTATGCACCTAAATTTTTACACCTCAAGTTTACACATATAAAGTTTATACACCTAAAGTTTAGAGATCCAAAGTTTACAAGTCAAAAGTTTATATATCCGATTCAAATTTAAATTTGAATTAAAATATTTTTTATATATAGTATTTCTATACATTTAAAGGTTATAGACTCAAAGTTTATAAGGTCAAAAGTTTACATACCTGATTCAAATTTAAATTTGAATTATATCCGATTTAAATTTAAATTTGAATTCAAATATTTTATATATATAGCATTTCTATACGTCTAAAGTTTATAGACCCAAAGTTTATAAGTCAAAAGTTTACATACCCGTTTCAAATTTAAATTTAAATTCAATTTTTTTATATATAGTATTTCTATACATATTTTTTTTCTAACTTTGTTTATTTATTTATTTTAAATTTATGGTGTAGTAGGAAGAGAAGAAGGGGAGGAGGAAGGGGGGGGGGGGGAGAGAGTATAGGGGGGATGGGGATAGCCACACCCCCTAAAACCTCCACTTCGATTGTGTTGTGGGCCGTAGATCAATCTTTCCGGAGAGAGGCGCAATAGACATGGTATAAAAAAGCCCATCAAAAAGAGAACCTTTTTACTAACACATTTTGAAGTGCTAAATTTTGTTGAATAAGTACCAGTACTCCATTAACGTAAACAAAAAAACATATCTCCAGGCACCTCCCCATGGATTCGGGTTTAAATTCAATCCTCAGAAGTATTCAACTGTGAATTATACGCCATTAATTCAAGATGAATGACAGCAAACAGAACAACATGAAAACTGGTCAATAAAAGATCTTTCCTTCCTTTATCTTTATATTTCCACCAAAAAAATTACAAGACTATATCATGAAACGTTCCTGAACAAATTTACCGATGACCAAACCTATAGCAAATGCCAGCATAATAACAATGCTATAAAAAACACTATCTGCCATCGGAGGGACTGCCAGTCAGTAGTATTCCACATTCTAAAGATTGCTAGTACTACTTTTTTTTATCTCATCTGAAGGCAAATCAAAGCCAAAAAAGAAACAAAAACAAAAACCATGGCTGGCTCTGTTGACACTAGGTTACCAAACGCCTTGTATTCCTGGACGTTGTGGACTTCACCTCCTCCGGGTTGAGTGACCCAGGGCTCTCCGACGTGTCCGAGCTACTGTTCTCGCTGGCGTTTGTTTTCCCGGACCAGAGCTTGCTCAGGATCTTCTTGGGCATGAGCGATCCCTTGGACTTGCTGGAGCTCTTGTCGTCACAGCTCTTGTTGTTGATGTCGCTGCTGCCACTGCTCCTCTCGCTGCCCCCGCTGTTGTTGGCCAGCCTCAGTGAACTGAACGAGTTGATGTCGCTGGAGGTCGGGACCCCGGTCCCGTCCTCCTCGGTTGTCGTGGTGGCCGCTGACCTGGAGCTGCCATAGGAGTTTCCATTCTCTCTGGGGAGTAGTGAGTGTACAGCAGAGGTGAGCTCTGCTGCGGCATCGGTCCGCCCCGAAGCGGCTGATGCCCGAATTTGCTCAAAGAAGAGAACCTGCACAACCACACGCAGAGGAAGGCGCTCGTTCTGCACGGCGTGCAGGCACGCATCCTGGGACAGTTTCTTGCAATCCATCAATCTGCATAATGCTTTCTTTTCGCTCTTTGATAGGCTGGGGTGCTCCTGTAAGCATAGTAAAGATGTCTAAGTTTATACGTCCAACAAAAAAAATGAGTACTAAGCGTAGAGATTTCGTAAATGTATATTACCTTGAGATACATGTCAATGGCACGATATAGACCATCGTGATTTTTGCGGGATGCAGGGGGCACCATTTCAGCAATTGCGATGAACTTTGAAAGGGGAAGATTGGTGTCTTTAGCAATCTCAGCAAGATACCCATCAATAAGATTTGCAACAGCCAGATTTGAGGTGCTGGAAACAGGAGTAAGGTTCTCAACCTCCACAATCTCATCATCATCTTGAAATTTCATCTTGCCAGTATCACTTTGTCGCGAAACAAACTCCTCCACTATTGCAATGATCAGGTTTACATTATATAACGTGTTTTCGCTAGTGTTTGCCGGTATAAGGAGGTCCGAAACAGAAGCACCATCCAATTGTGTGCCTATTCTCTTGATCAAGATATCATGACAAGACTCCCCAGCCTCCAGCAAGCATGCAGCTTTGAGAAGCTTAAGAAGAAAACCACATGACACGGAGCCTTTCTCAGTGGGAAGCAGAAATATGATGGTTTCAAGCACGGCACGGCGTTTAGTGCAATCAACTCCATTGCTCACAGCGTCTTCTAGGGAACCCAGCAGCCTGCGGTATGCATAGGCTCTCAGCGCCTCACCAATCACTATAGGCGATGTTCTTCCCTTTGCTTTTATCATCATGATCACCCGCTTGTACAAATCCATCTCGAGATCACAAAGGTCCTCAACCCACCAGTCCTTAGGGACTATCAATTGCTTCCTGACACCATTCCAATGAGAATCGTGGCCATTCTCTGATGGCAGTTTCTTTCTGTTGTATGTGTATGACCACTCGACCTCTGATGGATCAATTAATGCCTTCGATGCAATTGAGTCAATGCAATGGTTGATTACTTTCAAATTTTCAGACCAAGGTAGCAATGACTTTGTGCTCTGCAGTACTATGATTGAATCCTTCCAGGCACGAAATATGCTTGATGTCAAGAAGACATCAATTTTGTAAATGAGGTTTCCTTTCTCAATGGTTTCAAACATTTCTAGATACTCAGCTGCACAGCGAGCAGCAAGAACGTTATACGCATTGAGTGTTACAATCATTCCATAGCAGAACTTAGCACAGATTTCAAATGCTGAAGGTCCACCAGGGATGTCAGAAATATCCAACTCTTCATTGCCTTCCACATTGCTTGAAGCAGCTAATCTTTGCAGGCAGGAACTCTTTGACAAAAGAGGAAACTGCAAAATAATAAGCCAACTATGTAAATATCTTTCTACTCTTCAACATAAAGTATCTTACTTAGTAGTTTAACATAAAACGTCGTGCAGTAGATGAGAATAGTTGCCAGGCTAACTCTATTCAATTATATTGGATACAAGACATGTAAACAGTTTCTTCAAACTGGCTAAAAGATACTAAATAAGAGTAATGGATACTTCAAACTTCAAGCATATCCAGGGGTCAATACATGCATTATACATGAAAGTTTTTTATTCAAGAGGACTCAGGAAATAATAACCATTATGCTTAAAGAAGGATATCCTGAAAATTGCGCTATTCAAAATGAAAAGAATATCATGCCCATTTGATTAATAGAAAAAATAATAAAGGATTACAGTCATAAATATAGCATATGCCTTCCAGATTAGCAGTGCTGAAGAGTCTAGTTATTCATATATAAAAATTATACTATTTCAAGTACTAACTTCTGTTACAGCCTTAGAAAGATTTTAGCAGTCAGTTAACAATTCTATCAAAAATTAGTACAACATAGGAAGATTTTAGCAGTCAGTTAACAATTCTATAAAAAATTAGTACAACATAGGAACTGTTTAGTCACTATGGTTCAAACAATCTTTGAATACTAATGTGATACCTTGTGAAGACAAAACTTGACATCTCCTATGGAAATAACAATGTCTGTTGCCAGTTCCGTTGCAACAAACCTGAAAAAAATGTTACCGCTTCACAAATTAGCATTAAAGCTGCGCAGAAGAAATTGAGGAGAAGAACAATACACATGAGAATGAGACAAAGAAAACGCACACATTGATTCACTAAATAAAACGAATACTATACAATAACGCTCATTAGCAATCATCATTAATAGTTTACTTGATCTGAATGTATCTTGACAAAAATAACAAACCAAATTTTGAACAGCCACACAGCCCCATATATTACCCTTCCCTCCTAGCAGTGCGTGCTATTATTTGATCAACAATACATATCATGGTATGAAAGCTCCTGTGCATGTGCATCCTAAAAGGAGGACTGTTAAAGGTGACAGACAGTACACGGAGATTTCGGAAGGTTCAACAAAATCACACAATGTCTGAAAGTGGCATTGTTCATAAAGTGGATCCAGAATAATTGTAGACAAAGATGGTCACAAACATGGGAAGATAAAAGTCTAGTCTTGTCTTATAGACAACAAAGATATTATGATTTTAAGATAATTTCACACAATCCAAAATACAAGTAATGCAGAGCAGAAATGACATGACAAAACCAAATCCCCACCCACCGAATCAGCTAAAAGTGAGATGACAGATCATTGGCCTAAGTAAAGTGCTACAATCAAAGTTAGGAAAAGGTGAGAGAAAAGCAACTTCACAACTAGTAGCAGTGTGTATGACAGGCAATCAGGGCATAACTAACTGAACTAATAAGTGATCCTAGAACAAATATGTAAACAACAGTTTTGACACATCAAAGCAAGAAATAAAATTGAGCTCCAAGAATTTAATTAACATGATGGACCACAATGTCACAAACCAATCCATTCATCTAAAAAGTGAATGCTAAACAAATTAAGGAAGCCAACTCCTATCAGCAAATGCACACATGCACTCAAAGTACAGAAGAACCGAAAGAACATATGCTGCTATCAATAGGAAAGGATGAATTGACATACGATACAAATATGATTAATTAGATGGATAACTATCTGTAAGCCATCATAAGATGCACTACGTAGTAGGCTAGAAAGCCAGCATCGTGGAGAATGTTATCTGAGAACCAAACCCAAAACATAGTGTAAATGTATTACAATTGATTGGCACTGTTACATATAAAATTGTGAAAGCTATGAAACTTGGATTAATAATATAACTTTAAAATGATGAAATAATAAAAAATATCACAGGGAATAAATTCAAAATCAAAATCAGCAATTGTTGTTTGTCGATAATAAATGAAGCAAGTAGTTCTGAAAATTTGTAGCAGCAATTATTAATTGTTTATAATTATTGGAAGTTCATGCAAACTCCTAAACTTTGGGAACATTCTAGTCAAGAAATGGATCACAGAACTACAGAATTAAACCACCTTCCCCACACAATTTCCTGCCTTCCTGGTTTTATATGCCTAGTTACCAGTATGATTGACCCTATTAGCAACTTCTCATTGATGTGGATACTATTTCAAGAAAGAGTAGTGAGTGAATCTCCATAAACTTGACCAAATTCCATATTAATACACGTTTATACCAGAAAATGGGCCCTTATGAAAGAATTATCATTGTGGAAGACCTATTTCTATCAAGTCAGATAGATATTCACAAACTCACTAGAACAATCGACAAACTAACATCCATGTGCCAGAAGAGGCAGTGAAGTCAAGAATAAGTTGATGGCCATAAGTTGCCACACTTTGCCATACTTGAGGTTAGGCAAGTTTGACCATGTTAGGTGAGTGTTTGGTTGGCTCCCACAAGTGTGGTAAGATTCCTCTTTTGTAATCTAGGTCCCACATGTAAGTGACTCTAAAAAGTGTGGCATGGTTTTATTTTGATGGCTAGAGTGTGGCTTGGATTTTGATGGCCTCACCTTTGGCAAGTTTAGCTAAGAAAGTATGGTAAGTCTAGGCAATGTTAGTATGTGAACCAAACAGCCCCTAAAAGCAGAGAGCAGAACAGTACAATTACAAAAAATTTCTGGTCCAGGAGAGGAAAATACCTGATATTGCCGCCTTCTGTCTGGAAGAGGTCTGGCTTTGATCCAAGTTTCATATGCTTCATTGCGCCGTACTGAAAAAAACAATTAACCGAAGAACTCCTATCTTCTTTTTGCTCTTTCTATCTCTGCCCCTTTCCCTTCAACACATACCGTCCACCCCAAATGGGAACCAGGAAGAGAACTCCACAACAAACCCACAGCACTTAACCCATCAAGAATGTACCAAACCGGCGGCCACTGCCATGTGAATGCTTGCTAGCTCAAAGGACATGACCAACAGCTAGTGATAAAGATCCAGGCCAAACTGCCTCCCTTGCGTGGTGGCAAAGCCCCCACAAAATCAGGTCAAGAACCCAACCAGACCACCTCTATCAGTAAAAAAAAAAAAAGTAGTCGGCAGTTGCATCAAGATCTGGGTCCAGGAGACCGCAATGCCAAGAGGCCAACAAGCTCTTCCTCCCCCAAGCTGGATCACATCACACACGCTGAGAACCTGCAGAACACAAGGTCAGCATCTTGAGGTGAGGGGACAGTGGGAATAATTGGTGAAGCAATGTTGGGAGACCATGGGAACAAGCAGCAGTGAGGGGAGGGAATCTTATCTTGGTTAAAATTGCAAGCAAGCAACATGAATAACAAGAGTGTATACAGGATGATTTTTTTTAAGGGTGTAAGCACATGAAGGCAGTCAAACTGGGATTAAAGAATTGCCACCCATAGTCCACAGTTTATGTTTTTTTTTTCTTCTCCCATCTTAGCTGGCAACAATATTGAATTGTGCATATGGAAGTTCGGATAAATTTCTGATAATTTTACCATAGGAGCAGAAAGACCAGTAAATGGCAACGGAAGATTGCAACATGAAACTAGCAGTACCATTCCCTCCAAAAAAAAAAAAGACAACTAATTTATGAGGAAAAAAACTAACTTGATGATACCCATTATGCATTTGTGAGATCAAGCCTAAAGAATCGACATGTAAGGACACACATCTCAACAAAACACACTCAGTTATACTATTTTGCAACGAATGTGAATTAGAATCAGCTTCTGTAAGTTGTAACACGAGAAGGGATTGCCACAGCAGGAGCGGATCCAACTTGGGACATGGGGGGGGGGGTTCAGTTGAACCCCAAAAACTTTTGGGGGAACAAACAAAACTGTTACTTGTCTTAAGAATAAGGCTCTGGAATTAAGACAAGAGCTTCTTCCAGATCTAGAAGAGAAGCAAGGGTGGACGAACGGAAAGCAAATTCCAGACAAAAGGCACAGCCGGTGGGAGAGTGAGAGATGAATCAGAAAGAGGATGTGGATGCTCACCAGGATCCCCTTCCCCTGCCCTGCTCTGCTCGCCAGATGGAGATCGGCGCCCCTCCCCTGTCCAGCCGCGAGATGGCGCAAGAACGGAGGAGAACGACACGGGACATTTTCTTTTATACGCCAAGGGAAGGGGGCAGACACTCAAGTACACTGTCTTTATCTCGATTTTTTCTCTATTACACGCCTACTATTTTTTTTCGCTATTACACGCTCGAGATAAAATGAACTCGCTCCGTGTCTCAAAATATAATTTTTTTTAACATAATAACAAATTAACTATTTTTAAAATTAACTATTAATAGTAATAAAATAAAAAAGATCAATCATGTAAAATTGATCTTACTAGATTTATCATTAATCAAACTATTATAATATGCAACTCTTTTTATTTAAAACATTTTATTTTTATAGATGTTGTTGGTCAAAGTAGCATCTTAAAAACTGTGACGATGTTAAAAATAGTTATATTTTGGGACAGAGGGAGTATATATTTATCTCAGTTATTATTAAATTATAAGGCTTATATTTTATACGATCTCCAATAATATAATATATTTTAACCATTAATTTATTTCATGTTATATTTTCAATAAATATAAAATTAGCATAATATGAAAGTACTTTAAAATATAAAAATATAAATATAGTGATATAACTAGCATATATATGATTAGTATGATTATTAGTTAAAAATTACCGAGTTTAATTTTTCTAAAAAAAGAGCGCCCTGTAACTGGGGACGGAGCAAGTACTACTTTAAATAATGCCTTCAATGTTACAAGCTAATATATGGAGCCATGAGATCCTCACATGTAAATATTTTGGTTTTGTGTATGGTGTATGCCTAATCAATTAACTACTAGCATATTATGGGCCTATTTAAATTCCCTGGCAAAATTTTACACCCTATCATATCGAATATTTAGACACATGCATGAAATATTAAATATAAACGAAAAAATAACTAATTACATAGAATCGCGTGTAAATTGCGAGACGAATCTTTTAAGCCTAGTTGCATCATGATTTGACAATGTGGTGCTACAGTAAACATTTGCTAATGATGGATTAATTAGGCTTAATAAATTCGTCTCGCGGTTTACAGGCGGATTCTGTAATTTATTTTGTTATTAGACTAGGTTTAATACTTCAAATATGTGTCCGTATATTCGATGTGACATACTAAAACTTTACACCCCTGGATGTAAACACAGCCTATGTCTCGTGTTCACGCGACTATTACCCTTTCTATTTAAAATATGTTTACGTGTTGTTGATAGTAATTAGCTGAAATTTATGATAACAAAGTAAATAATGAATTACAGTAAATGAAAGTCAAAAAGTTTAGTGAGAATACAAACATATTTTTGTTCCAAATACATGCATGAAAAATACGGACACACATATCACTATTTTTTTTTCAAAACTCATCACACACACTATACTTGTATCCCTCCTGTGTCATAACACACGCTCGTCGTTGTTGCTGCCTTCCCGTAGTACTCACCATGCATGGCCCTCTTATCGTCTCTTTATATTTCGTTGGTGCTCTAGCCATATAGCTCGTCCATATACATCTATATATCTATATGTAAAATGTAAGCTAACAAGTTTATTTTCACTATCTAGTTAAAACGAAGAATTAATATGTGTTGTATCATTTTGAAATTTAGTGTTACTAATTTTTTTCTGCGCCAAACCAAAATATAGATTCATTGTACTTTTTTTAGGGGGGGAGATGCAATTTTTATAGAGGAAGATGATTTTTTTTCAAAAGGTTTAGAGATTGTGTTTTTAAAATAACTAAGATAAATACATATATTTTATCTTATCTTATAAAGCTTAAATTTAACGATAATAGTGTGGATAATGATATTTTCTTTAATTTATAAACAACAAATGAATAATTACATATAAAGTTTAATATATACATATATATAATATAGATAATAATAAGATATGTAGTTAATTTTTTTTACATATAAAAATAATAAAATAACTAGAAATGTTTGGCTATATCTCTAGTAGAGTAATTAACTTAGCCAATGCGCGAACGGTCGTTAAAATTGCACGGCATGACATATTTTACAAACAAAGATAGGTTAGCTGGGATCTCTTGTCAACATGCTGTCGCGATTTCTTCAGCAATTTTCTCGATCCATAATCTTCTTCAGTGTAACGTACCACAAAAAGTAACTGTAGTTATCCTTGCATATGTTCTCAAAAAGAAAAGGTTATCCTTGTATATCCTTTAAAAAATCTCTAATTGTTTTCTCCATGAGGGACACGACATGAGTGTAGCAGTCAATAGACGGACAAAATGTTCCTGGCATTATCAGCGGGAGAGAGACAGGTTTTCTTGACATTTACTGGCGACCACACTTGATTTGACACCTGAAGTTTATCAGAAATGGTTCCATTTTTCCTGAAGAAAATTAGTACTAGTAGTATAGACGACACACCTTCTTGGATGTACTCTCAGTCCTATAATATAAACGATTTTAACCTTTTACTTACACTGTTTGATCACTCATTTTATTAAAAAAATTATGTAAATATAGAAAACAAAAAATTATGATGCTTAAAGTACTTTGGATAATAAAGTAAGTCACAAATAAAATAAATAATAATTCTATTTTTTAATAAGACGAATGGTTAAATAATAGAAGTAAAATATCAAAATTCCTTATATTATGGGACGGAGGGAGTATTGTGGTGAAGAGCTTGGGATCACACATCAGTATTTGCAAACCAGACGAATTGAATATGTCAAAGAATTGAATTCTGTGCAAATAATACTACAAATCAACTCTTTTCAGTGGAAAACCTTGTCTCGTGCCTGCTGAATTTCTCTTGTCTGATGTGCTCTATATATGCACTGTATACCTCAGCCCCCTAGTGGCATGCAAGTGCGAGTTATCTGCACTGTTTGCCTTCTTTTGTTTCTCTCGTGATAGATCTTCATGTTGAATTATGCAATGCGTAATTAGAAGAGAAACAAGAATACGCTAGTTGGAGAATTATATAGCCCAGACCACACGTCCGGAGGGATATAATTTCTGCCAAATACTTTTATGCAGTTTCTGATATTGTCTCTGAAACTTTGATCCTACCTATTTTTTGTGAGTTGACAGTTAACTTTGATCCTCGCTCAATCTCTTTAATATCTTTAAATCTCATCCTTTTTATATCTCTCAGTCTCTATTTTTATCTCGTTAATATTTGACTGTGAGTTGTCAGTTAACTTTTTCCTTCAAAATAACTATGTTGTCCTATCTTATATTCATGTGCTAGCTTATTGTAAAATACAGTTACAAATATGAAAAAGAATATTCATTTGTAAAATAATGAAGTTGATATAATTATTTGACCACAAATTTGAAAACTAAAACGTATTTTTTTTAAAATAGCTTAAAATCAAATTTGTTGAAACTCATACAACATTTTCACCAAAATTTAAACCCGCATAAAAAATAATTTTCATTTTAATTTTTTGTGAAACTCTTATATAAATTTAATGATACTAGCTTAATGCCCGTGCGTTGTAACGGGTTCTAAATAACATTTATTGACATAAAAAAAATCCTAAACAGTATATCACAATTAGATATAAATGATGAAGGAAATATAATCATTGAAATAACGACATGAAACTGCAAATAACTTTGGCCGGAACCATAATTCAATATCATGAAAATTATATAACTAAATCCCCATTTTTTATTTGTCTATAAATAATTCAATATAGAGAAAAATTATAAGTTTCAACATTTTTTAATATATCAAATAGTGCTAAAACTAACGGTGTAAATGGAAAAACACTGAAAATAGCCAGGAACTCAAAAAATATTTTAGCCCATAGATGAAAATTCAATCCACTAATTCTAAATAGTTACCCGTTTTATTGACATAAATTAGAATTTCCATGTTCTATTCATATTCCTACGGTCTCAATATTATATAAATGGTCCAAGTGCATGGTTGGGCTAGATCAGGAATGAGTTGTGTTTAACATGCACTCTTTATCGTATTCCCTAGCCTAAGGTGAGAAACACAAGAGAAGGGAAGACGTGGTCTCAAAATTATGTGAGTGGTTCAGAAGCATGGTTGGGCTAGAGCAGAAAGGAATAATATCGAACCGGCACTGTTCATCGTGTTCCCTAGTCATTAAAGGAGAGAAATAGAAGAGGAGGGAAGATGGGGCCAGTGCTCTGGCAACCAAACAACGATGATGAAGGTGGTAGGACGTTTCCCACAATGTGACTAGTCCATAGATGGTGAAGGTTAGCAACGAAGAAAACAGAACAACAGGAACATACCAGACAACGATGTGGCCCTGATAGAGAGAGAAACGACAACAGCGAGCTCTGGTGGTAAACCCGATCGGATGAGTGTGTCAAAACGCGTTCCTGAACGAGAGGGTTCCGTTTTCCTTGAACGCATATGAGGAACAGAAGACGGGAAAACAAAGACTAACACTATTCATCGTATTCCCTAGCCAAAACGAGAAACATAGGAGGGGAAGCGGGCGCTAATGCTTCGACAACCAAACGCTAATGATGAAGGTGGTCAGATGTGCCGCACGATATGACTTGTCCATAGATGGTGGCGGTCGGCAACAAAGAAAACCAGAACAGCGGGAATGCGGCCAACAACGATATGATCCCGATAGAGAGAAACGGCAACAACAAGCTCTGGTAGTGATCACAGCCGGGTGAGTGCGTCAAAATGTGTTACCGGATGAGGAGGTTCTGTTCTCCTTGAAAGCGCATGAGGGAGGGAGCGCAAAGGAGAAAAGGGGCACTGGGAGGAGGAGGCGACGGGGAGTAGCACTAGGGAGAGGGAGGGAGGCGGAATAGGAGGCGTGCGCGGAATGAGGGAGGCGGAAGCGGAGGCACGCGTGGGAGGGAGGGAGGAGTCATGTGCGATGGGATGAAGACGTGGACAGACGAAATTAGATGCGGAAGCCTTACGCATTATTTAATTAGGTACAGAAGTAAATTTGTATGCAAATTTAAATTCTGTTTTTTTAAAATTTGCCATCAAATAATTTTTGTCCTATTTGGTGTTATTTTAAATTAAAAACATTTCACATTGACATTTATGTGTTAAAGTAACACATAAGTACGAGACTAATAG